CGTTCGAAAGCTGTCTGGTGTCAGTACAGTGCACGAAACTCTTCGTTATTTGACCTTAGGGAAAATGTCTATGCGTCCAGCGAATTTCCTCCGAAAAGGCGGCGTATTTAAGGCTTTGACCGGGATGTTCTTTTGTTAAATCTTATGTGGTACCGCCTGATTCGACTTCTAATGGTTAAGTGAAGTGTTTTCTTCGCGGTACGGACTGAATTCATAAATAATATTCAGACGATCTTCGGCTTCAAAGGGTTAAACAGCAACGCCGTCCATCGCCGAGGCTAATAATCAGCAGATTTTCACCTGCACCCTTCCTTCGTGGCGTGATAGTATAGTGCGTTCCAGCGTTTTTGGCCGCTGAACTTTGTGAATTGGAACCTCGAAGCGAGTCACTTACCAGAAGATTCCTGGAAGGGATGGCAGCAGGCCGCGTACAGTACACTCCAAATAATATATCACCACGTTATGTAACACAGGAAAGTCGACTTCACTACACTACACATCACTAGAAAATTAACACTGCAGAGAGTATTAGATAATTTTATTTTCTTCACAACTCTTCCGTCCTCTTCTAATTCTTCCACTCCTCACAGACCATCGCTTTCTGACATCACTCGGTTAATCACTCCATTATCTTCAATTATAATGCGTTCAATAGCGTCTTTGATTATTCCTTCTTGCTCATAATAAATTTGTTTTGGTTTTTCATTCCTCTTGCCCAATTTCTTCGAATCTCTGGCGACAAAGATGCTCGACGTCCTTAATTTTAAATGTCGTGTTCTTGCTTGAAACCCTTTGTTTTACGAGTGTCCAAATATGTTCAATGGGGTTTAAATCGGGATGGTACGGCGGAAGTCTCAGCACAGTACATTCTTTGTCTGCTAAAATGTGATGAGTCACAAAATATTCGTGCTTTGACTTATTTAATTTGATTAAATCGTACAGTTGAGCTTTCAACATGTCACAAAATGGGATGTTTCTTTCCAATAGCCAGGCTTTCATTTCGTCCTTCTTTGTTTAAGACGTCGGTGGTTTTTCTGTCTGAGTTTGTGATACGAGGCGTTAATTATGACCAGAAAGGAGATTGCAACAAACATGTGGTATGTTGTTAACACATCGCAGTCACAAGGAAACAATTATGAGGCTTCTACACTGACTGTACTGATCGACGGGAACTCCTTCCTTCCTTCCTTCACTGAGTGGTCCGCATACTCGGCACTCCCTACAAGGTCAGCGGCCATAATCGGTGGATCCATTTCTAGATACAGGGAAAACTACGTGTACCCCATGCTAAATCGTTCTAATGGTCTGGAGTTATTTGGAGCAGAACGGAAAACGCACGTTCTGCCGGAAACGATAGCGTCCTATTAAAGGTACTATTGTCCACAATTCGTCTGGCACATCGTAACGATGTTCATGTACAACACACAACCATACCTCGAGCGGGATTAAAACCCGCGGTCACCGTGTTACAGCTTCCCAGACGACCACTGTAACCACCAACCTAACAGCAAAACAGTTTACAGCATTCCAAAGCCGTCGACACACCCAAAAGCCTGTTTACCGAGCACATTATGTTAGATCTCCAAAGTCTTAGACCAGCTGGCACGCCGATGTGCGACGCGGTTACCACCGACTGCCCAACAAAGTTAACTTCACTTCAGCTCAAAGTCAATGACCGGAGGACGCCATCAGCGGCTCAGTCACCGAAATTACATTTAACGACCACGTTCATGATCACCCGGTCTCTAAGCCAACAGCGTACAGACACGTCCTCAGCGAAGTTGCGTGCATAACAGGCCTTGGTGTTAAATGACTGCAAACACACAGCAGTCAGTGCCGATACAGACGATCACACCAGAGAAAGTACTTCCATGGATGTATTTCAGACAAATCTTTGTCTGGATTTGAACACCGGAAATGATATCATAAACCGGGGGGGGGGGGGGGTTGC